CCCCCCCCCCCCCCCCCCCGATCCCTCTCAATACCTCCGCGTCGCCCCCGGGTCACCTCCGCGACCTCTATCTTGGCTGCCGGTTCGTCGTCTCAAATCGCACCAAAACAGGCAGTTCTTGAAGAACCCGAGGTTGTCCTGACCCTGGCTTCGTGGGGTTTCTCGGCCCACACGGGCGTCGACCGAGACTTGTCGCCTCCGACCCGGCCAGCTGCTGCAGTGGCCGGAAGCGGCTCGGTGGTGTCCGAGATTTCTCAGGACAGTTTTGGCGGCGGCGGCGGCGGCAGCTTGGGCGGTGATGGGTTTGGGGGCGCTACCAGGAGGGGTGGCGCTGCTAGTAGCGCGATCGCGGCGATTCCCACCTCTGTCCAAGCTAAGGTACGTTTCGACGTACCTTTTAGCTCTTGTGTCCCAATCAAGTGTGTTGTGTGGAGATTTGAATGAGAACAAAGAGAGGGTGAGTTATCACCGTAACGGTGCGGGTGCTCCATTGCCCGTTTTTCCATGATCCTGTTCGAGCTGATAGCTGCCGTAGCCGTGTCTTTTTTACGTTTTGTACTCCCCGTGCGGGTGTCTCGTCGCGGTGCTTCGGAGACCATGCCGCCGAACGACGATCGCGTGCGGTCGATTGCGAAGGGCAAGGGGAAGGAAGAGGAGTACTTGTACTCAGAAATGGGAGTGGCGTGGTACATATCAGGGGGGGGCATCATATATCATCATCCAGGAAGATAAAAATGCAAGCCATCGTCACATCATATGTCATCCAGGATTATAACAATGCAAGCCATTGTCGGGACTTCCTTCGACCACCGCGTACAAAGGCATTTACCTGCGAAACAGGAGACTGTCGCTGTCCGACTGCAAGGTGCCCACACACACGAATCGAACGAACATGTACGTCTACGGCCTATCTCAGAATCCACTCCCCCCCCACCCCTCCCGTGCGCCCCCGTCTTCCGGCTTCCCCCAGACACCCGCCGAACGCAAGGAAGAGATGGTGCGCGAATTCAGGCGATGGGCGGGGTATACCGCTTGCTCGATGCGGCGCCCCGGTTCCGACGGCATCGGCCTCGCAGACCCTTCAACGACAGAAGCAACGGCAACAGCGCCGCCAGCGTCGGGGCACGAGGGTGGCACGGTGGGTCGCCGGCCCGGACGGGGTCGGCGGAGCACCGCCGTTCTCCTGCGGGCAGAGAGTGGGGCGGGGGCGCCGGCCGCGGAAGCACCATCGGGAGGAGGCAGGCGAGAAGGCGCCGCCACAGGCAGCCGTGCCCATGCCCGGCCTCCTCGGGCACGGTCTCTTTCTTCCCGCTCGGCGGGGGCGGCGGCGGCGGCGGCGGCGGCGGTGGCGGTGACCCGCGCAACTGCTGGCTCAGACTGCAGCAGCGCAGGCGGCGGTCGGCTCGCGAAGAGGAACAAGTGGTCGGGGGGAGCTTGTTCTCCCGGGAGGGTGAGGGAGCGAGAACGGGAGCAAGCCCCGGGGCATGGGAAGAGGGCGGCCCTCCTCCGCGAGAAAAAGGCGCCGTGGGGGGCGGGGCCCGGAAAAGGCGAGGTTCGGGAGAGGACCCAGGCCTGGGCCAACGCCCACCTGGCGGATAGGACAGGGTGCTCAGGAGGATGCTCTTCTGTGGGCTCGGGCTCGTGGCGTAGCCGCGTGCGGTCCAGGAAGGGGCGCGTTTCGGCGAACGGTTGCTAAAGAGGGCACAAGGCCGGAAGGCGGGCGGCTAAGAGCGCCGCCGGCGGCGGGGGCGGCGGCGGTGGCGGTGGCGGCGGCGGCACCGGCCGGAGGCGCTCGGCGAGGAGAAGGATCAGCGCCGGCGGCGGCGGTGGGCGGGAGGAGGCCCCAGCGAACCCTGGCGAGCGCGGCAGCAGGGCGGAGATGGGGGCGCCCTCGGCGCTGGACGTGACGTGGGACGTCCTCGACGCCGACGGCTACCCGGAGCTTACCCCTCGGCGGAGGAAGGAACTCTTCCCGGTGGCGGAGACGGAGGCCGAGCGGCCTTCGCCGCCCGTCGGCAGGCAGGCCCGAGGAGGAGGAGGCGGAGGCGGTGGTGGTGGTGGTGGTGGTGGCAGGGGCGGGAGGACCGACAGGGTGGTGGACATGCTGGCGTCGCTGGAGAAGGCCGTCATGGACGTTTGCAAGGTGGATGGACTGTTTTGTTGACTGCTGCTGTTTCGCCCCCCGTCGTTTGTGTGTGGTTCGGCGGTTGGTTTTTTGTGGTGTGAGGTGGTGTCATCTATTTCCGCGAGGATGAAGGGGGCGCACGAAATGTCCCCCGCCTAAGTGGGTTTCGCAGGATGCATCGTCGGTGTGGTATTCTCTTTTGGTGTCATCAGGCTAACCGTTGACTACGAGAAGTAGGAAGCGTTTGAGGGTGTTTGGTGGGAAACGGTTGTGGCAGGTCGGCACTGATACTGACTCTCCTCCAGAAGACCACCGCATGTGACGTGGTATGAAATATGGACGCGACGTGTCCTGCGCACGGACGCACGGCACGAGGTCTTGAAAGCAGCGACGAGTGACCGCGGAACGGGGGCGCGTTGCCGGTCGCCCACCCCGCCTATTCCGAATGCCCTTGATCCATCGATATCGCTTTCAGGACATGTGGAGGCTCGAGGACAAGGTCGAGGGCTCCGAGCGATACACCGCTAGCCGGGGTTCGGAGCGAGTGACGGAGAGCTCGGTCGTTACGGGGGAGGGCTTGGGAAGAGAAGCAGACCAAGGTAAGACCGGCTGGACGTGTCACGAGAGACGAAAGCGAGGGGGGGAGCCGCTGACCAGGGCTGTGCGTGGTCTCAGGGTAGGGCCGGGTGTTTCATGTTGATATCCCGCTTCTATACCTGCCGGTCGAACGTTGCTCTCGCGTGCCTGGTCTGCGCACAAGGTCGTATCCCCTGAGGTGAAACACGATGCCCTGAGAATCCCGACCCCCCCCGCACCCTCTGTCAAGGAAAGACTGGCCATCGGCGATCGGTCCCGTACCGCCCTCTCGGGGGACGCGTGGTCAATGCGCTAACAGCCACGGCATGCACAACACGAGTACCCCCCCCCCCCCCACAGACCCCCGCGCCTG